GAGCATGGTATGAGCATGGTATGAGCATGGTATGAGCATGGTATGAGCATGGTATGAGAATCGTGGGAAGCGCAAGAAGTGTCAGAAGCGTCTTCAACTTAACTCAAACGACTTTCTCCTCAAATTGGACCTGAACATGACGAAGAGGATTCTGGGACTCTAGGATGAAGATTCTTGGTGAACAAGCATGCACCTCTTTCTTCGTTGGTTTCGGGTAGAAGCAAGAATCAACCAAACTGCCGTCGAATGAATTCGGACACCTGTCCCACTTACTTCCCAATGGGTGTTTCTGTCTTGTGTTTTGTCCGGTCTCTGGGATGGGGCGGAACTTGCGGATGGGACGAACTCTTGAAAACCTCGAGCCTCCCTCCAAAAACACCCGCTGCCCTCCCTCCAAGCGCAAAAAGGCGCCCAAGCAACTCCTCCACTTCCCGAAAAAGGCGCCATTGGCCGCCCTTTTTGGGCACCACTCCAAGATGCTGTGAGGCCTGTCAGGCAGCCACCAGCAAGAGCATGCCGTTCCTGCCTTTTGGGCCGCAGTGGATCCCCCTAATGCTGGTTTGGGCAATGAAGCACATGGCCTGGGTCGCCAAATCAATAAGACTCCGAGTAGAGAATGGAACATGTCCATGAGTCAAACCATTTTCTGTGTTCCCCATTTGAACATCCCCCAATCCCCCCCAGAGATTTCTCTGGCTTCAGGAGTGGTCCCGACAGAACCGTGTGTTTTTCTTTCCTCGTTTCTCCTCGACCTCGACCGGTCCGAGGCCAAAGCCTCAGAACCTGGGCGGCCTGGTCGGTGGCGAGGCGGAGTTCGACCCTCTGGGCTTCTCCGACACCTTCGACGCGCCTGGGACGTTGACCGAACCGACACCGGTCGGAGGTGGGACGTGGAGGTCTCATGTGGGGCGGGCACTCCTGATCATTGACGACGCCTTAAGACATCGCTGAATCTCTCGGCTCCTGCATCCTGTTCTTGTTTCTTTCTAGTTTTTTGTGAAGGATGCTTGGCTGCCAAAGTTTCTTTTCCTTGTATTTGACCATGAACTTGATCCTGAGAAGCTTGCCTTCAAGGTCTTGAGCATATTTCGCCAGCTGACCAATCTGGCCACCCGGAATCCACCGTCCGGGAATCCGCTTATTCATGTGTCTTTCCATCTTTTCCTACGACCATCTCCGAGGTGAAGTGGCTCCGCGAGAGCGAGTTGAAGCACGGGCGCGTTTGCATGTTGGTGACTTGGGCCGCGTGGAACGGCCCGCGACGCGCGGGTTCACTCACGACGCTTCCTCCGCGACGCGGTCCGCGACGCGGTTTGGAACCCCTCGCGTTCCCTCGTCGAAGCCACGAGAAGCGCCCAGCCAACGGAGTGGAACAGTTTTGGGAGCAGTCGGAGTCTTTGGGTGCAGCGTTGCTCCAAAGTGGTCCGGGCTAGATCGGATAGATGTCTCACATTCTTGCGGGACATGACGAAGTGATCAGCTTCAAGCAATTGGTTGATGTCCTTTACCACATACCATAGGTTTTGGACCATGGTTCTATACTTTTGAGAGGTACGTTTAGAGAAGTGACCTGATGATGTTGCAGATGGCCAAACGGCTCCTGATTTTCGTAGGACTTCTAGAACATCCCAACTTGCACATATCAATATATATATATATAAAGATATATAAAGATCAAACTAAGTATTGAGACAGATACAGTACCTTTGTAGAATTCCACACAACTTTTCTCTCATTGGTCATAACTGCTGGTCGTTATTCAAAAACATAACCATCATTTTCAACATGGTTTTGCGTTACACCTTAATGCTCGATCGTGCTCATGAAGTTGCACATTATCTTAGTCTCGTGAAAGTTTGAGGTCATTTTCACTTCCGATCACCTTACAATGGCAAGCTCAAAATGTGTGAATTTCATTGGATTTCAAGATTAGCTTTCGGTGAGGGTTGGTGGCCTAACTATATAAGCGGAGGAAAACCATTTGCGTTGCGAAGAGGGTAGCTCAGAGTGTCAGTGGGATGATACCTTTCCTCCAACAAGCATCAAAGTGAAAAGCACCCTGTTTGTAGAGTTGCGAAGGGAACGTCGCTTTTCGAGGAACCCTGGTCAACTTCCAAGATTGTCGGATGATAGACCTGGTGTTAGCTTACTCAAGGATCAGGAGTTCGCCTGACCTGCTTGGGTGCACCAGTCGCAAGGCGACGATTGGCTTCGTCGCCGAGCAGTATTGGAACTTCCCAGGCGGCCATACATGCGAACCAAATGCGAACCAAGAGGGAATCTATTGAACAAACTATGAATTTTGGGAATTCATGTCAATTTCTGCTAGACGAACTGTGTTGGAGTCCTAGTGTCCATGTGACAGCGAAGAAATCACCATGGACTAGTATGAGGCATATCCCGTCTTGTCCTTTCTTTGTCCTTGACTTCTACTTGATTTTCGTGGCCGCGATGGATCTTTAACTTGATGACCAGAAACCTGCGGAAAGCGACCCAAGAGAGCAGGTTTAGTTGGCCATTGTGCAAAGTACACATGCGCTCGAACCCATGTCTCTCACACCACAAAAGACAAGCAAAACTAAAGACTGGTTTGGAGAAACTCACACAACCCCACCTATTGCTTATGCTGGCTGGAGGAAATCCACGCACACAGCTGAAAATCAAGATCTAGTGAGAGCCCTCAACACATACAGCAGCCGAATCTTGGATGGTTTGTTTCACAGCGCACTTGACTGCTCAGTGGCGTGTTGCACCTTTGTCTTTTTTCCGCTTGCAGGCTGCCCTGAGACGCCAGATGCCTTGCAGGCGCCGCCAGCATATGAGACAGGCATGCAAGCTATTTTTTCTCCTGCCATTTTCCAATATATTGACCGAAAGGGATGCGTTGCGACGTATTTCCACGTTGATATCTATTATATATATAGATTCACACACTCAACTGCTTGTCTTCTTGTGAAAGTACTTACTAACTGCTGAAGTAAGCCTGAACCCCACGTAGTGTGAGGCGTTTTCCACATCAATCAGGCCAACACTTTTTGCAACCCCAAAGATGAATGCGTGGGTACACTGACTTGGAACCCAAATTGGATGAATCTCCAACGACTTTTGGGTGGTCCAGGAGAAGACTGTTATTGTACCATGTTTTTCCTCTTTTCTTGAGGTTTAGGCTTTCTTGGGACGGTGTCCAGTTCCTTGTGTACATGCAGATTCTGTCTCCCTGAATGGAGTTTTGGTTTGTTGCTCCATGCCACCAATGCGAGATGCAAGAAAGCCATTTCTCTTTCTTGGAACACCGTGACGGTACCCCCAGTGACTCTCCGCTGCTACCGACGAAGCTGTCGATGGACCTCTCCTGATAAAGGATGATAAGAGCTCCCCTGTGCCATCCCACGGCCGCCATGTTTTCATCACCGCCGTCTTCGTGGTGAACGAACACACATGAATACATCTACGAAAAGAAACGACACACAATATATACATGTACAATATATATATATATAATATCAACTGGGCCTGGGCTCCCATGTGAGTGAAGATATCTAAAGCTTTTCTGCAACACAATTGGGTCAGCAGTCGTTGGGCCTCCCAACCGCTTGAAGGCCATCTACACTGCGCCACCCAACCTCACAGCGTTGCTGATCTTCATCGCCGGGTACATCGAGAGCTCCTCCTACGATGGCAAGTGGCTAGGCTTGTGGAGAGTGGTGTGAGTCTGATGTGAACAGGAAAAAGTCTGCGCGGGGTTCGATCCAGGATTCATGACTCGTGCCGGTATTCCATTTACATTCTTCCAGGTTGCTTGTTCTCCATCAAAACCTCAGTACGTGACTGCTGGAGCTTGATTTGTTTCGATTGCCTCGGTTGGACTTCATACCTGTCCGGTAGCCGTTGCCTTTCTCCTTGGATTGGTTGAGTGGTACCCACTATCTTGGAGGTTGCTCCTGAGGCTGACAATGCTGGACATGTTCGAGGGCGAGGGCGCAAAGAGGGCACCGGGTGATTTGCCACTTGGAGAAAGAGGACATGCAAGATGAAAGTGGTTGGAATTGGCCACACCTTGACACGGAAAGTTGGGGCTTGATTAGACCTTTAATGACCTTTAAGACCCCACAGATTTCCATTCTGATTCCTATCATTTCCATGGTTCCGCCAAGGGTGGAGGTCTGCCAAGAAGGAGGTAGTGGCTCGGGGTGTTCAGATTTCAGCATGAGGGCCCAAGGGGCACATCTGAAGGACGTTCGGGTTTCATGAACTCGGCAGGGTTTGGATTTGGTTGAAGGCCTGGAGCACACGTGCTTTGGTTGAAGGCCTGGAGCAGTGTGTCCCACGCCATCAAAAAGGAACTCTCCAATGTTCGGATTGGAAGTGCATCAACCTTCCAGTGACTGTTCCATCCCAAGCACCTCACCTTGGCAAGCACGCTGCTTCCACCAGCGGTTCCGAGGTGGTTCCACCCCCCTCCGATGGACCAGCCCGAGGAACTTCGGGAAGCGCTTCTTGCCTGGGGACAAGGAAAAGGCTGACGAGCTGGCCACCAAGGCACGAAGTCGACAGGGTGGCTTGGGATGCGGCTTGGGATGAGACTGGTGAATCTGTGATCCGGGGAGTTGGTCATGATATACGGAGAACGCTGAACAATGCTGGTGTCTTTTGGTGGGAACAGAAGGGTTCAGGTGTGGATGGGTTTGGCCAAACATTGGAAGATACGGATCTACCAGCTTCAGGATCCCTTTCTCGCGTGTCTTTGTATGAATTTGGGATCGTGTGGGGTTAGGCACATACGAGTCTCATCGAGTCTCACAGCTTTTTCCATTCAAACGTGTGGATCCATAGGGACCACAAACGCACCCGGTCGCACCATGCTGTTGGCTCTTGCGCTACGTATCGTCCGGTCTTCTCAGCCGCACCTGCTCGGACGGGGGGCACCACTGGGCCCAGCTCGGAGGCCCGATCCGGCAGATCCGGTCTGATCACGTTACGACGGACATGAGAAGAGGTGAAAACGGACATGAGAAAGCAAAGGAAAGCCACGTGGTTTTGTTGCTATGGTGGTGCCAGGACAGCTAAGGCCGGGTTTATTGTGGTTATTGTTCCAGGAAAGCGAAGGTGGATAGATGGAAGTCTTGGAGGTTGACACAAACATCACCCACATACCGCTTAAACATGGCCGAGACACCACAGAAACACGAGATTGAGATACCACGAACCAAAAATCCAAAACATCACAAAGAACACAAGACAACACAAAAAATGTACTAGACAACACAAGACAACACAAGACAACACAAGACAACACAAAACACCAACCAAGAAATGCTGTACTTTGCCGAGTCCAGATAGCCGCAGCCAGAAGTAGAAGCAGGCCGTGCCTTTGGCGTTCGGTTCGGCGATGAGGCTTTCAGCACAGGTCAATGGCCAGATCGTTGGCTTTGACGTTTCACCAGAGACGACGGGTCGAGAGCTGAAACAGCAGATCAAAGAGGGTCAGCCGAGCTGGGACGAATGGACTCGCCGCACGACCAGGGTGGAGATTATGGTCGGTGACCGGCTCATGGGCAATCATCAGAAGGTTGTGGACGATGTGGAGGATGTGGACGATGTTCTGGTGAAAGTTTCTTTCAAGCCAAACATTGTGAGATGCTCCAGGAGAGTTGCAATAAACCGGACTCAGAGTGAAATTGACTTGGAGGATTGGCTGGTCATTGAAATCCCTGATGGTGAGACCGAAATTCCTCACAGTGCATTTCGAGACTGCAAAAACATGGCGGAATTGAGAATCCCAGGCTCAGTGACCACCATTAGTGCCAGAGCCTTTGAGAATTGCAACTCTTTAGTGAACTTGACCATACCAGACTCAGTGACCCAAATTCGGTCTAAGGCCTTTGTCAATTGTAGTTCTTTGAAGGACTTGACCCTCCCAAGAAAAGTGACGCACCTTGGGGATTTCGCTTTTGCACACTGTAGCTCTTTTGCGACCTTGAGTATCCCGAGCTCGATGACTCGCATCGTGGAAGGTGTCTTTGCAAGTTGTACGTCTTTGGTGAACTTGACCATCCCAAACTCTGTGACATTCATCGGATCGTATGCATTTGAGAATTGCACCTCTTTGGTTGACGTGACCATCCCGGACTCGGTGACGGCCATAGGGAAGCATGCCTTTGCAGGTTGCTGCTCGTTGGTGCACTTCAAACTCCCAGGTTGTTTGACCACCCTGAACGACCATACCTTTTTCGGATGCAGCTCCTTGGTGAGCGTGATCATCCCCTATTCTGTGACTTCCATCGGGAGTAGTGTGTTTTCTGGTTGCAGCTCGTTGCTGAACCTCACCATCCCGGATACCGTGGGTCGTGCTGGGCCCCATGCATTTAAGAATTGCGCATCCTTGGTGAACATGACCATCTCAAATTCAGAGACCATCATCAGGTTGTTCGCCTTTTCGGGTTGCAGATCTTTGGTGAGATTGACCATTCCACCCCTGGTGACCCGACTTGACACTGGCGCCTTTCAAAATTGCAGCTCTTTGGTGATCTTGACCATTCCAAGATCAGTGACTCGCATTGGTCACAAAGCCTTTCAACATTGCACCTCGTTGGTGAAATTGATCATTCCAGACTCCGTGACGTTCATTGGTGACAATGCCTTTGAGGGTTGCAGGGCTTTGGTGAGCTTGACCATCCCAGACTCTGTGACCCACATCGGTGACAATGCCTTTCAAGAATGCAGCTCTTTGGTGAACTTGACCATCCCAGACTCTGTGACCCACATTGGTGAGAATGCCTTTCCACCACCTTCCACAAGTTCCAGTTCGGTGAGCAGGCTGCCCAAGTCTCCAATGGACTTCCTTTGAGTACAGCCGCAAATGCTGCACGAGCAAGTGCCACAAACAGCACCAGCACATATGCCCGACCAGCCGCGGCGGTTGGTTTTGGATCGTAGGGCCACTTTGGCCAGCAACCCTTCGTAGTGCAACGCATACAACCAATTTGTCCAGCTTTGACCTTCAAAAATTGCAAGCATGCATTGGATAGCTCGCAGCTTGTGCAGAAGTACAAAATGAAGATGCTTCTTGCTTTGGGCAGCTGGCAGTTTTTTTTGTTCTTCCCACCCTTGGTTCGGTGGCCATGTCAGGGGAAAGGATCACTGATTAATTTTTTATGTTCGCAACAGACAAGCAGTTTTTCGCTTGTCACTCGGACGCCTCAATACGTCAGATTGCTGTAATGAATGAATGTATTAGTACACGATGCCGCCGTGAGTAGTGCAACTCCCAAAAGATTATATCATTTGGATTGAGCCTTCCCTAGCCGGAGTGATCATATACCCTCGTGGTGGCCCGACTCCTAGAGGCCGACAGGTCCACGGGACGTCACTTCTCACACAGGATCAAAGCTGTGCGTCCGGAACCATTCACCATGCTGGTGCCTTGTTGGACGCGACAGGAGCTCAACAACGGTCGCTTGGCCATGCTGGCCTTCGCAGGCGGAAAGCGCGGGAGAGCGCGGTTCAAGCGCTGAGATTCTCACTTTGTTGGCGTGTCTTTCTCCTGGGTGTTCCCATGACGCCATGGAGACCAAGGTGAACCCCCATGTTTGAGAAGCAACCAAGGTGGGATCTCTCTCCATGTATATCTATGCACATGTATACTAGATGAAAAAGCTGCTAGGTTTCGAAGGCTCCCACGAAAGTACACGAGGGACTAGTCACGGAGTCCCCGGTTTGAGACCTTCACAGGGTGCACGGAGTGGCGAGAAAAGGCAGACCTTCCTTATCACCGCTCCATGGAGACTGTGTCCACCTGGCAGGAATGATTCACCACAACCTGGTGGTGAAGGGTCCGCTCTTCCCTCTCTTCCCCGAGGGCTGGCAGGGACCGCAGGCACCGCAGAAGGGGTCGGTCTGTTGATGCTCGGTGGTGGGGGGACAGTGAGTAGGAAGCCATGAGGAACTGGGACTGGACTGCACTATCGTACATGATATACGTGAGTATGCCAAGAATGTGGCCTGAAAAGCCCAGAACTGCTCGGATCACAAGCGTGGTGTCCAAGCATGTCATGGCAAAGAAACCAGGGACGGAGTTCTCGAGGTTCAGCTCCACAGATTGGCGTCCTGGTTTCTTTTTATTTGGAAGGTAGACATGCTACGAGTAGTTTCCTGGAATCAGTCCGAGCTATACTCGCTCTTTTTTCATCAAATGTCCAGTTAACAAGGCAAATCGTAGCAGTGGCATTTTCAAGATGTTCTCTCCACCAACTTGTGCAGTAGCACTCGCATGTACACGCGGAAAACGCATCGGTTGCACACGCGGTTACACGCAGACCCTCTTGTACAAGCGCATTTTGGAAGCCTTAGAAGCCTTAATAATGGCTGCGCTGGCACATCACACCACTCCCAGTTCTCCAAGGATGTTGTGTCTTCAGGATCTTCAAGTGCACTCTCTGCTTCTGTGCTCAGGGTCAAATTTGGTGGAGGGAAGAGTCCTTCCAAGGTAGCATACCTTTTGTGAGCCACCCGAGGGTAGAGTTTAGAGGAGGAAGGAGCCATTCCACATATATAGCATGCCTGGCTTTTGCGAGCTGCCCGAGGGTAAAGTTTAAGGGAGGAAGGAGCTATTCCAACGTAGCATGCAGCATGCCTTTTGTGAGCCACTCGAGTGTAAAAGCTTGAGGAAAGCATTATTTCAACCTAACATACCTGTTGTGGGCCATCTGAGGGTACAGTTTAGAGGCAGGCACCATTCCAACACAGCACACCTCTAGTGAGCCACGCAAGGGTAACTAGTACAGGAGGAAGTCACAAATTTTGATGTAGCAAAACCTCCATCCAACAAATATGGCAGCGGAATATGGCCCCTTGGAAGACCGTTTTCCTCTACGAACAGGCTATATTCCACTTCCATGATTGTTTCAGGGAGGGTACCTTTGGTGGGCCAACCGAGGACAAATTTTGGAGCAGGAAGGAACCATTCAAAGCCGCCGCGAGGAGCCACGAAAAACCTGAGGTCCCCCCCCCGGCCTGTGCGTTTGTCGCTGTGCGTTTGTCGCTGTGTGAGTCACTGCATGCGCAAGTGAGTTTTGAGACGTCAAGGGTGCAAACATCATTAGATCTTCTGGGTCGGTGCCGAACTCGCGTGCAGTCGATTGGATTTGGTGTGTGTATGTGAGTGGGGTGCCAAGATTTTTCCAGAAGAATCCTTCTTCGCCAGGGCTCCTGGGATTTGGACAGCACGGCGGGCGCGCTGTGCTTTGACCCAGACGGGTGATGGGGTGGGCGGGTCGGTGGGTTGGTGGCCGGTAACGGTTGAGCGAGATGGTTTGCATCTAAAGACGCTTGGCATACTTCCACGTCTACGTCTGGACCTGAAAACCACGGGGTTATAGAGAAAAATAGCCTTCCAAAGGTCCATGTTCAGGTTTCATATGGGTCTCTTCCCGGGTGTACAAATCCCTCTTACCATGCGCTCACACCTTTGAACATCGCATAGTAGTGGTAGGATCCCACCAAAGCGGGAGGCTTCTCCGAGGGCACGGTGTGCTCCGACCTAGCATGGCTGCCTTTTTGTAGGTGAATAAGCTCAACCCTACCCAACAAGAGCTCTGGCACCAGATCTGATCTGACGAGCGCTTGCCACACCGCTGGCCGGGTGTGGGGCAGCAGAACACGGAGACCTCTTTGCCAGTTCGGAAGAGCCCGCGGGCCAAACTGAATTTGCAAAGGTCAGTGCGCTTGAGGCCAACCCACTTGGTGCCAAGTGGATGATAGTGAAACGACGGGCTATATGCTCACTGGGCGCTCGAAAGGATGGGCTGACAGCCCAACTCGTTTTCGTGCATACAGGGAAGGCCATCCTATGAAGGCATCATTCATGATGCAACAACGAGCATAGCTTATACATGCTTATACAAGATCTTACAAGATAGAGTGGGATCACTCAACCAACCATTCGTACCGCAGGTCGCGGGACGTCACTTGAAGTTGTGTTCCTCCATGTGAATCTTCCAGGGTGTAGGTGTAAGTGTAAGTGCTTTTGTTGGAACGGCCGGCACCTTGGTTTCCAGCTGAGCTCTGAACCCCCAAAACAGTAACAACTACTTCTCATCCAAGAACAATCAACAACCACTCAATCAACAACCACTTTGCAAGGCTCTCTTGACTCATGGAGGTGGTGCCCCTACTCAGAGTCTTCTGGGCTTCAAACGGTCTTCGACTCATGCGTTTGGGCCCAGGAACAGCGGTAGTCTGGGATTGTGAGCAGAGGTTCAACGTGTCACCAAGGACCGCCATGGACGGGCGGGTGGAGCCATGTGTGGCCATTCACCGGCGGATTGAGTAGGATTGGCTGGTTCCGGGTTCCCTGCACATTATGGGAGTCTCCCTTTCAGTTGCTCTGTTTCACGTCTTGATCCAGATTGAGCCAAGTTCATGCACCTGCTCATGTGACCGGAGTGCAACATGCGAGCTGTCCTTTGTGCCGAGTTTCTCTCTCTCTCTCTCTCTCGCTCGCTCGCTGTCAATGCCAGGGCGGCTCTTTTTGATGCCCTACTTCGAGGCTCGATCAACAGATCCTTCACAGGGTTCCTACTATATATCGGAGTGGTGGATGGAGTCTGCAGCTGTCGGAGTGGTGCCCTTTTTCATTCCCATGTGATCCCCCGAATCAGGCCCCCTTTTACAGAGAAAGACTATAGATTTCAATTTCGTATATATATATATATTACATATATATATATATAGGTGAGCAGGGTGCTTTTGCGAGCGAATTTGCTGTTCCAGCCCAGAGTCATTTCCATCCATTTCTGGGGGCGCGCGTCCCAAACTTTCGCATGAGACCTTCTGCACAATGTGATCTGGTGGCATAGTCCTGCAGTTTACGGCCTGAAAAGCATCTGACATAGAAGATATGCTATGGGATAGGCCACCCCTGACATAGGAAGGTGTTTCCTTCAAGAGTACTATCCCTTCTTGACTGACTAATCGCAAACCGGCCTCCCTGGAGGTCTACGACTTGAAGCCAAAGCCGGGCAGAAAAATACTTTTTTTGCAGTGCCGAGCGACGTGTTTTCAGCGCGACCGCTGGCGGGAGGGGTGACGTGACGAGGTTCACCGTGTGGGACTTCTGTTGAGATCTTTAGAGAAAGATGTCTCTCTTGGACGTGATTGCATGATATTGCATGTACCCCCGACACAAATTGAAAGTGATCTTCGTGACTGCGGGTGCTGTCAGCATCATCATCAGGTTTTTGAAGGTCTTCCAGGGCAATGGGCCAGCAAAAGGGAGCTGACGATTGTTCCGCTGGAAAACTACAACACTGATTTTGAGCTGTTGCCCTCGACGATGAAACAGACCGGTGATGGTGACATGTTGTGAAAATTAGTAAGTCCCGAGTTTTCTCTCTGGGACAACCAAAGCTTCTATCTGAATCTATCTGAACATACCATTCTCAACACGGTGTCATCACACTTGAAGAAGGCTTCCTTACCTATATAAATAGGTTTTCACTGAAATGATGACACGAGGAGATACACGCGGCCTGACCGTGTCATATCCGCCTGTCAGGTCGAGGAGATCACACCCAGCGGGTCCTCGAGTGAAGTCCGTTCTTTCTTCGAAAAGAAGGGCGGGATAGGCCAATCCCGGGTCTTCCGTCTCCAAACGAAGTGACTGGTTTTCAGCTTTCTGGTTTTGACATGTTTTGACCTGACGACGTCGTGTTGGGGTTTGGATTTCTCCGCGAAGGTTTGCCGCTGCAGCCTTGGGCTCGGGGAACCCACTCTTAGAGGTGCCAATTGTGTCGTTACGCTACCATGGCATCCAGGCACGGGAGCCTGGCGTGGTGTCACACAGTT